TTAGGATGACAACTTGGCATGTCGTTGGTGCAAAGCCATATATATAAATATGTATCCTCTGGACCAAAAATGAAGAGAAGAAGGGACTTTGGATGCAGCGGATTGTAGTGTTTGAAAAATAATTGTTCGTCCTATTCATTTATCATCTAGTGAGGTTTATGAAGTCCGACGTTATGATCACTTGAAATTACGGTGGTCGCAATTCCGTAGAGACTGGCGAGGTGCCGTTCAGCCCTAGGCATAACAAGTGAGACTTCGACTTATCGGTTCATGTCGTGGAATATCCATACGGTTATATTCTTTATATATGGCCGGCATCAGGTATACTTATGTGAAGCAGGATTTCTCGGGAGGACTTGTGGATAAGCAAGAGAAGGAGAGAGTGAAGGCGGATGTTAGTGCGAGACCCCTGCTCAGTAACAATGGCCGTGGTGCGAGTTGAGTCCAAGTTGGTTCTCAGTAGGTGGCTCTCGGGAGAGGAGGATACTCCTCCCACAGGAACCGTAACGAAGGAGGATACTCCCACAGGTTTGTGCAACCAGAGCACCGTCTCGATATGATCAATTGTCCCTCTGCGTGACATGGCGATTTCACATCAGATAATTCCACGGAGATCTGCACTGAAACGTATTAGTCATTGGGGTTGAGAGGCTGGTTGCAGCCTACGGCCTAATTTTGAACGGGGTTCCCAAGCCGAACGTAACATTAATAACCCAATTTCTATTACACGATCGAACGACCATTATACGTGTGTCAATGTCGTTTACCTCCTCGCTTGGGTGGAAACACCCAAGCGGATAATCATGTTAGTGATATCATCGCAGTAACTGAACCGATGACCTGGTCTCATTCACTGTATACACTTGGATCATACCCAGCTTCAACCGTTTCCCATCTTTTCCTCGCACAAGCGTCCAAGAACTCTGCGGCTTCCCATTGTGTACGCTTGCAATAGAGTGTCTCCGCACGAAGTACTTCGCCAACTCACCAGTCTCAGTTTCTTGTTGAGTATTTTATGCGCTTCCTCTGCCTTCATAAACTCCCAGACACCATCAGAGGCTACGACGATGAACACGCTATCACTTGCCTGAAGAGGACTATGGCTACCGTCAATGCTATTTGCCATACTGGAAATTCCCAACGCTCATACTGTGGCTCCGCGATGACTCCATAACAAGCGACCGATACATCGCCAATCGCTCTGGTGACAGCCAGGCCTGATACAGATATGATGCGACCGTCCACGTGTGATCCGACCAGGCAAGTTGGTGCCTTTGACGAACACTCTTTTGTCTCCGCCTGAGATCTCCCGTATCTCTCCACCAGTATTCTCGATACGGTCTGCCTCGGCCAAATCTGAGTTGGCAATCATCGACTATATATATATTTCCTACTGTCCAGTGTATGGTCCTGTGTCGCATGAACAATCTGTAAGCCGAACAACGACGATCGACCAACGACATCCAATAAGGCAAATCTTTACCGTTTCAACATCTTTTTTGTCGTATTTCCCGGCAACAACCTTTGAGTCACCACACCAAGCCACATGAACAACCAACTTGCCGTCTACTGCATTCAAAGGCTCAACCTACGGAAAAGGCAGTCGAGCACAATAACAACTACAACGGTAGCCTACCACAACACAGGATAGGCTGCTACCGCTATTTTCTGCTGGAAATCCAATAACCTCGGCGAACCTAAGACGAAGAGCAGCATGCCTATAGATCGAATAAGATAGGTTCCGAACCTGGCATCATAGCCCGAGTGCTGTGTGACTTACTTGACGATGTCATTCTGGCATTTTGTAATAGCAGCTCTCAATGTAGCACCGACGTCTGTAGTTTCTGAAATATATCGCTCAAGCCAGGCAGGCCAGCATAATTGGTTCCCCCCTACCATCAGCGCTCAGATGCTCACAGATGAAGTTTGCTGCCGACTGGGTGCAACGTTGGCTGATCAAATGACCAAACGGTCCGTGGCCATCGCAGACCAGTCCGACTATCGTATTGTCATCTGAATCGAGGCCGTTGGGATTCCCTCGAGAGACTCTACTGCTACCAAGCAGAGTGATACTAAAGCAGTCTTGATTCGGTGTCGGGTCGTTGGTTCCTTTGCAACCTTTTCTAATACAGTTGGAGTTCCCTCAAACACTAATCGTGGTATTCAAACTCACCTGCACACAACCCC